CCACCTGCGCCGGCCCGGGTTTTCTCTCCTTCCCGCCCCGCCCCCGCCCCGCCCTCGCGTGCGCTCTCTCTCCCTCGCTCCGTCTCCCCGGGTTCATTCACAGTATTTGCGCGCAGGAAGCCGCGGCACCGCTTCCCTGGGAGCACGGACGCAAACCACGTTTCCAGCTACCTCGCTCACCAACCCCGGACGCCGGCCGGTCCTTAGCCGGCCCTGGGGACCTTTAACGTGCGGAGTGAGTGTGAGTGTGTGTCTGTGTCCCTCCTTTCCTCGCGCACGGATCAGTGCCTTCACCTGGCGATGAGTGTAGAGGAGCGCGTGTGGGAGTGTGCAGGTCTGATTTCCAGAAACCCCAGACATCAGTCACAGCTGGGAGGCATTGCCAGCCCAGCCAGGCCGCTGCCACTCTCCTCCCGGGGCTCCTGGCGGGGCTAGGGAGCGCCCAGACTTGGGGATTGAGGCAGAAGGGAGGGGTCAGCCAGAGGTCCCCTGGGAAGAGCTCCCTGCTTCATAGGGCGCTGGCGACGCTGTGATTGAGGCGGAGTGCTCCCCCATGACCACAATTCTGACGGCATGTTACTGTGAAGCCAGGAACACCTGGGTGGTACTGGCCTCAAACGTCCCAGCCCCTGAGCCGTTTCCCTCTTCTTTCCCAGCTCACTCTTCAGCACCTTTATTTCCTTGTGCCTTTCGCTCTACTCGAGCTTAACTGGCTCTCCCTCCCCGCCTCCCCTTTATTGCCAGTCTCTGCCTCAAGCCCGGCTGGCTTCACTTAATTGCCTTTGCTGCTGGCATGATCTCAACCTGGACACGTTCCCTTCCCCTCGGAGCCAGTTCAGGCTCCTCCTCCTTCGAAAGCCCGCTCCAAGCTCTCCTCCAGAGGCCCTGAGACCAGCCCCTGGAAGTCCAGCATCCCTTTCCTTCGGGGCCCGCCCCCCCCCCCAAGCTCACGCTGGCATCCCTGATGGCTTTCCTGAGGGATTGGACACCGAACCCCTAGGCAAGTGGAAGAGGAATATGGAGCGCTGCTGTTCTTCTTGCAAGATGCAGCTGAAATTTCACCTCCTTTGTGGGACCTTCCCGGGCCCCACTATCCAGAGGAAAATCAGTGACCCTCTGGCATTGCTCTGGTCGAATGGGCAACCCAGAGTACCTGTTCCCCCCCCCCCACACACACACACACATACCACCCCTGGCAGCCCCCCGCTGGAATTGCTGGTCTCTCGGCCACAAGATTGTGAGCCGTTCTCACATCTGACGTATATGAGAAGGACTATTGATGAGTGAGACGTGTTTCTTGCCCCCTGGAAAATTACAGTCTGGTTTGGGGACATAAATAAAAGGGGGGGAAATTCCAAGGACCAGACTGGCCGCATTAATTAGCATTTGCTGGCCTCCTTCTTCTGCCTTTGGGATGTCTGTTCTGCTTCCTCAAAGTCTCAAAGGGCAGGAGTCATCACCTCTAAGTACCTCCACCCACCGCCGCCTGGTCCACCTGGTCGGGGTTCTGCACACAGCAGGCGCCCAGTGTGTGCCTGCAGGCATGCAGCAGGCGTGAGAGGGCTCGCTGTGGCTCAGAGCAGGCTGCCCCTCTGTCCCTGATATCCACAGGGTAGATTCTGGGGTCTGTTCTCAGAAGCTCCCAGGAGGGTGCATCTCAAGCTTCTTTCCTTTTCTCTTTCGTTTTTTCTTTCTCCTCCTCTTCCTTCTCTTCCCCTCCCCTTCCTTCTTCCTCTCCTCCTCCTCCTCCTCCTTCAAGAAACAAATCATTGCTTCATATTAAATCTTAAACAGGTCTCCCAACAGTTAGCCTTGTAGGTAAGAGCTGGCATTGCTCTGGTCGAATGGGCAACCCAGAGTACCTGTGCCCCCCCCCGCCACACACACACACATACTACCCCTGGCAGCCCCAAAGCACCTCTGTGGATCCCAGGGTCCCATGAAACTTGGTGTGAAAACCCCGACATTCTGAGACAGCTCCTGGGTCACTTGGAGATGACATGGGGTGGTAGGGCCCTCCTCCAAGCAACAGATCCTCACGTTAATCCCAGGGAGACACCAGAAATCTTCATGCATCAGTCCTGTTAGCCACTCTCAAAGGAGCATGTGTGAGAGTTGAGAGAGCAGTGGACTAGCAGCCAAGACCGTCGCCATGTCATGCTGGCTCCAAGACTAACTAGCAGGGTGATCTTGGACAAGCCGGAACCACTTGGGAGAAAGACACTTCCCCAGTCCCCACTTCAGAGTTGTTTTGAGGGTCAAATAAGTAAGTAGCCTTGCACAGGGCATACACTTAGTGACCGTTGTGGAACGAGCAGTAAATGCTCCTTTTTCTACCTTCTCTTGGAAACAATGCGTCAGACACCTTATAGGGATGGCGAACCTATGACACGCGTGTCAGAGGTGACACTCGAACTCATTTTTTTGGTTGATTTTTCTTTGTTAAATGGCATTTAAATATATAAAATAAATATAAAAAATATAAATCTTTGTTTTACTATGGTTGCAAATATCAAAAAATTTCTATATGTGACACGGCACCAGAGTTAAGTTAGGGTTTTTCAAAATGCTGACACGCCGAGCTCAAAAGGTTCGCCATCACTGTTATAAGGGATGGCTGTTAGGTTTTCTGTTAATTCTCACCATTCTCCCCCTTCCAACACCTGGACAGTCCAAGGCACAGAGAAATCGAGTAACCTGCTCAATTCAATGCCTCCATCTGCAAGACCCCAGCTTGATGACTTCAAGGCCAAACACGAACCCGCCTCTTGGTCGCGTTGACCGCCGTGTTATGATGACCCCTTAATTCCGGGGGTGGGGACTCCCGTGGGGGCTTGGTGGTTCGCCTTTCTTTCTGTGGACACCCAACTGGCACCCATGCTGAGTCCTGAGACTGTGGAGTTAAATGAGGACCTGACCGCGGGTGAAGGGAGCTGGGGCAAACTCAGGACTGTCTGCGACCATTCATCATGCCTGGGTGAGCACAATTTAAATCTGGAAATTTCTGCTCAGCCGGATTAGAGAACTCTAAATGGCAGTATTTAGCTGCTGCCTGAGGTCCCTGGAGCTTCTCCCATGTGACATTTCCAGATCTGAGCGAGGGATGTGCCCTTTGCTTGCTCCGGGGGAGGCTCGGCTCTGGGCTGGCCTTGTTCTGGAGATGCTGGACACTTGGCATCCTCCCCCAGGGAGCTGCTCAGTATAAGTTTTACTGTTGGGCAGGGGGGGGGGGAGTTGGCATCATACATGTTATTACCTCTCTGGACAGCTGAGGAGGTGGGGATATTTGGACCTGTCCTCCAAGCCTGTCTTTTTTCCAACACAAAGTGGTTTCTGCCCCCTCATGGGGCCATTGGGGTAATTACCACAATTCTTCCCTTTCCTTTGGCTGTGAAGACAGAGCTGTAATGAGCTCAGAAACCCTCCGACCATCCCAACTCCAGGGTGAAGCGGCCAGGCAGCTGTGGTGGGAGAGGAATACAGTATTAGGCTGCTCATGCTGCGGAACGTGCATGTCAACGCTGCGAGCAGGCTGCATTTGCAGTCACAGGGGGAAGGCAGGGAGAGGCCCCCCCGCCAGCCAGGGAACGCGTCGCTTTCTGCCGCGGCTTCGAAAGCCTTTGCGAAAAGCTCGGTTCCCCGCTTTGTCCTCCAGAAACAATGGCCTCTCCTGGCCACTTTCTGTGATATCTCATTTCCATGCCCAAGGCAAATGGTTCTGCCGATTTCAGAAGCTTAGTAGGGGGATTTGGGGAGCTTGGGAGAGATTGCGTGTGAAGAGACATAAAGAGTGATTTTGAGTTTTGATAGCTAAGGGCTGGGGATGAGTCTTAGATGGTTCCAGGGCTCGGCTCAGTGTAGAGCCTTATCTGCGACCCGTCTGAGCTGCTCGGAGTCCAAGAAGAATGCCTCGGACCCGGTGCTGACTGCCTCCCCCATCGGATTCCGCGCACCGCAGGAATGACGGCCTTCTCTCTCCTGTATCTCAGTAGGGAGCGTGCACACCAGAAAATGCCGCTTAGCTTTCTGTGTCCAAGTTTATTCCATCTCATTTGCTTATCACTTACTCCCATTCGAGGTGATTGGAGCTGGACACGCAGCGTTCTTTTTCAGCTCTGCCACCAAAAAGCAGTGGCGCGCTCTCCCGGGGTCCCCACGCCAGGCCAGGCCCTAGAAGTGCAGAGGGAAACGAGGCAGCATTTAATGAGTGCCTTCTGAGTGCCGGGTCTCTGAATCATGGCAACAGCTATACAAGGTGGACGACTTTACTCCCACTCTGCAGGAGATAAACCTGCAGCTGAACAGAGTAAGGGCAGGAGCTGGGGTTTGAACCCGGGCGCTGTCAGCTGCTGCACTGCTGCACCTCACTCCCTGGAGCGCGCAGAGGCTCAGGGTCTTCCGAGTCTCTTCCCACATCTGCTTCCTCCCCCAGTCCTCCTGCATGTACTTACCCAGATGAAATCAGGTTCAAATGACTGTCAAAGTCACACGGGGGTGGAGAGGTTAGCAAAAGGCTGCACCTGCCACCCAGGTGGGGTGACGCAGGCTCCCGTTTCCTGGGAAGGTAGGGAGGGCCGGGCTGATGGCAGGTGCTGGAAGCCACCAGCCTGAGGAGTCATCTTCCTCTCCCTCCTGGCACCTCAGTGCCTGTCCTGGTGCTGGCCGGAGAGGAGGAGAGGGCCAGCCCTGATCCCAGGCCGGTGGCTTCTTGGAGACAGCTCTGGCCTCCAGCTGCCACCCTCTCTGGGCCTTTTCTGATTTACTGTGATCGGAGGAGAACGCAGCCCTCCAAGCAGGGAACCACACATTGTCTTGTGCGTGGAGTCTGTGTGGCTTATGGAAGATCTGTGTGTCTCCAAAATGGATCCCATTAGGGCAGTGGTCGGCAAACTCATTAGTCAACAGAGCCAAATATCAACAGTACAACGATTGAAATTTCTTTTGAGAGCCAAATTTTTTAAACTTAAACTATATAGGTAGGTACATTGTTATGAACTTAATTAGGGTACTCCTAAGCTGGCCTTTGCTAAAAACGTCCTCAATCTGAGGGGTCGACCTCAG